GCAAAAAAGAAAAGGTGGAAAATGTTTTCCCACCAAATAGGTGAGAAAACAAAATCAAGTTTTTGTGCATTAAAGGATTGTACCTAGAAAAAGGTGAAAAATCAATTCCATGAAAAAGAAGTGCCATCAAACACGACAAAAGTAGGAAACGGAATTTCAATTCCAACTTCCATAAAAAATAAAGGTCTATCAAACAGGCCCTTAGTTCCACTTTTACTAGGAAAAAAAAAAAAAAAATTATTTGCATCAATGGAATAGAAGACGGATGTCTATCCATTCAAATCCAACCTTGAGGAAGGAATGACGGAACATTTACAGCCACTAAAGCATTTTAACAATTTTTTTTTTTTTTTAACCATGGATATCCGGGTTAGCTTGCGCGCACCTCGATTAATTCCACGGGACCCTGAAGTTTACGGTCGGTACTCACCTCAGTAGCCCTGAGAGAACTCGAACTGGTGATCATTGGAAAGCAAACTCAATGCTTGACCAATTGAGCAACCCCTCAGGGTTAAGAAATTTTAACAATCCAACTCGACGATGAAGTCCTCGTTTTTTAAAATTCATTATTTATCAAATTTATTTAGAACTATGCATTTTCATATGATTTGCAATTTGCATCAACTTTTTAGCTATGTATTTCTTCAATTTTCATCAAATATAAAAGTCAACGTGTTATTTTTCATGACTAATAGGGATGCCAATTTGGTTCGCTGTTCGGACGACCACTGACTTTAACTCGGGAAAAGCCCGAGTCAACTCGGCTCGGCTTGATTCTATCGAGCCCCATTTTGGAGTGTCGACCAAGCCCGATCCAATTCATGAGCAAAATTTTAAATAAAAAATAAATAAATTTGTATTGCGGCAGAAGAATCTACCGCAATAACAGGCATCAACAGTAGTTGCTTACAAGCAGGCAACCATGCCCGCTGCCTTTTTTCATTATAATAATAAAGAAAAAAATGAGCCGACTCGGCTCGATAAGCTCCAGCTGAAAACTTGGGTCGAGCCTAAATTTTTTTGCCAAACAAAAGTTCAACTAGGTTTGGGTAAAAAAAACTCGAATCATTTTTACTCGAATCGAGCCCGAGCTTCATGTTTCGACTCGCAAGCCAACTCGTTGACATCTCTAGCTATTACCACATATACTCTATAATTATGTACGATTTTGCTTCGTCCTTGGCCTTCTTAGCCTCGTATTTATATGCCCATGTTATCACGAACGAATTAAGAACGGATTATTTTTTTTTGTTATATTGTACATTCTAATTTAAAACAAATTGTTGACCTCGGAATTCATCTATTCGGTGAGATCCAATTGTCAATAGATATTAGCTTTTATCTCGTCAACGTGTATACTTGGACATTTGCATTAGATTGTACAAATCGTAGTTGATAAAGTACAATTGTCGTGTGCACTCCAACATAATTATGAAATATATTGGATGTGGAAAAGACATAATGAATAAAAAATATGAGTTTTGAAACACTTTACTTATGAATGAGAGGGGATTGAATATTTATACGAGGAGAGAGCAAGTAGAAGGGACCCTCGGATACTTGACATATGATCTCAACGTGACCTTTCACCTGTCTGTTCAATTCTGTACATCCATAGCATCATAGACACGTGGTTTCCATGCCTTGACAATAGACAGAAAAATTGTAATTTGAGTGGCGTCGTCATTGTAGAAGTGTCACATCAATCAATTTTGTGTACTTTTTGTACAACTTTTGTCGAGGTGATGCTTGTAACATAAGCTCATAACCTCAGATATATACTACAGCGAAGAGGTCATGTATCGCCTTAGGTAACAATAATATTATAAGCGAGTCATCTCAAAGCATAGCTTAATCGTCAAATAATAATAAGAAATAGACTGCGTGAGGGGAGGGAGCTAACTTTTGAGTGACATTTTTCTTACCTGTTAACCATGTGACCTACTTCGTAGGCAGATGCGTAAAACTAATCTTTGTAATGTTTTAGAAAGTAAAAGATGAGCATGTTTGGCTAAGCTTTTGAATAGCTTATTTGGGAATAAACCAGACCACAAGAAAAGAATAGTGTGATACACGCTTGTGTTTACGAAATTGAACGGACATAAAGCATCAACATCATTTTTTGTCAAAGCATGAGAACTTAGCCCCCATTTGGTGGCCATATTTTTGGAAAAATATTGTTTTGAGTTGTGGATTTTTAAAGAATGTGTGGTTTAAAAAAATGAAAAAATTTGGGTTTAAGTGTAGAATATTTTATCACGTTAAAGCGTAATTGAAAATGAACATGTAGAAAAAAGAGTTTTGAGAAAATGGAAGACGAGTCTTAGATATCAAACATGAACCAAAATAGTGACCCCTAGAAAGTTATTTCGGGGGATTGGATTTTGTATAAAATTGTATATACCACCCTCATCATTTGGAAATATAAATTAGGAAAATTAGAATTAGAGGTTCCTGATTTATTAAATTTGTACGAATGGGTCCTCAATCTTTTCATACTTTTTATTAGTTTAATTGAGGAATCCATTTAAGGGGATTAAGCTCAATGGGGAAAAGGATTTACAAATGAGTCTTCGATCTTTTTGTAGAATTATGTCTTTCAGGCCCTGTTTGATGCATATTATTCTTTCAAGAATGTATTTTAAATAGTGATTTGATGAAAAATATGTGGTTAAAAATAAAGAAAAGTTTTGAATTTGAGTGTAATATTATTTTATTGAAAAATGTATGGTTGAAAATAAGAGAGAGAACTGTATTTTTAGAAGAATGAGTATCAAACATGGTGTCAGTATATGTTTTAATATGTGTTGTCATTACAAATGTGTTTTTCATACGTTTTTCTAGCTTCTATGCAATTAAAATTTAGTCTCAAAAAATGATTTCTCGACTTGGGTGAAGACCATTCTATACGGACAAATAATGCTAGTTTTATGTGACTTTTAATACCATATCCAAGCTACGAACACAATTGATTTCAAATAGGCGCATGCTTGACAAGGTATTTATAAATATGAAGTCTTCATAATCAAGGGTAAATGAATCGTGAGGAAATGTGTGGCACTTGCGAATCTTATTAAATGTGTAGATAAAAAATAATTTTTGACCAAGGAGTTTATAACGCCTATAAACTCTTAGCCAGACATATTCCAACATAGCCAGTTGAGTGCAATTAAATAAATTGTCTCCAAGGACAATTTTAACCTGGATAGTTGGTAGCTGGCAGTGGAAATTACTAGTTGGGCAATTCACAAGTCACTGTGACTAGTCCTGTTTTGTCGTCATTTTTCTGGAAAAAAACATTATTTTTAATAGTGAATTTTTGGAGAATGTATAATTAAAAAGTAGAAAAATTTTGAAGGAAAAGATTTGAATTTATGTGTAGAATATTTTATTGTGTGCATGTGTCATTGAAAATAAGTATGTTAAAAAAATGTTTATCCCTAACAAATAAAAGAGACACTTTTCCAATTACTGTTCACACTTTCGTCCGGTTGAAACGACGTCGTTTTGGCAGGAAACCCAGATAAAAGATATTTTTCTCTCGACATCTCTCTCTCTCTCTCTCGCAGACTTTCCCATCAGCACTGGACGAAAACCCTAAGCTTCTTCGTGTTACCGTTTTCATCGCTTCGCTTCACTTCGCAAGCTCGTGTCCTCTCCTTTCTTAGGTTTCCTTCGCTTCCGCCTCCGGTAAAGTGGTCGAACTCAGATCGTCCTTCCGTACAGCTCTCCGTGCCTTTTTTCCTTCTCTCCGTACTGTACAGAGACCCTGTGCCAAAATCAAGACCTTCCTGCTTGCTTGTGCAGGACAATCATAGGCGAAGGAGGATTTTGGGAAGAAGAGAGTTTTGTTCGGGAGAGCAAATATAAAGGTTCGTCTATTTTCTTTCAGTTTGGGTGGAAACGATTTTCGATTTTACATGGTTTTTTGGATTGGGCCGATGCAGTCAAAGTTTTGGATTGAATTAGATTGGGTGGATTATCTCGAATTTGTGAATCAAATGGTTAGGGTTGTAGGCGTGGAAATTTTGAAGTGGCCATGAAGTATTCTGGGTTTGAATTTTTTTGAAATTGATATCCTTAGGTGCAAAGTAATTCCCGGTTGTTTGGAGAATTGAGTTTCGCTCTTTTTGGTTCTTGTTGCTTTGAAAGAATTTCATCTGTCGACTTTAGTATTAGGTGCATATGTCATTTGAGGTTCCTTTTATTGGTCACTTATCTGGATATCATGGAAGTTATTTTGATGTCAATCTAATCTTTCTCTTTATATTATATTGATTGCAGATACCTCCATGGAAAACGCAGCTTCTTACAGGTTCTCTCTCTAATGTCTTAAATATAATATCATTCCCATAAAAGATATTTCATCTTGCTCATATTTTCCCTTCTATGCATTGTTGGATAACAATTTAGATTTATGTTATACATACACCCACAAACTATTTCTTGAGTGTGATCTAACCCCTAAGCGTGTTTGCAGAAGGAGTCCTTGTTGTAATAAAAAGTTGGAACTCTGAATTTTGATAACAAACACAAGTAAATTAATTGATTTTTTCCCTCTTTGCGAATTAAGTGTACGGCATATTATACAACCAAAAGTTATTGAATAATTATGATGTGACCATAATTGTATTTTTCATGCACTTACCTCTCGTGCATATAAAAGACGAGCTTACAACATGAATTTTCAGAAATGCCTATAGTGGCGAGTTCCTTGAAGTGTTAGGTGGTATCTCACAAATTTCGAGTCATTTGGAGTTTGTTTGATTGTGATGCAGCAAAATTGTTCAAAGATATATTGTGAAGTGAGGTGTATCATGTTGTGTATATATTAGAGGGACTTGTCAAACAAAAGTTTCAAAATTTTCATATGCTGAGACTCTGTTAATATGCTAAGACGTTTCTCACCAAATTTCAGAGCTACTTCAGCTTGCTTGAATGAAAAATTATCTCGTCGTTTCAACAAGTTCTGAAGAGTGAAAAACATAAAATTGGATGCATCTTCATGGCTGCTTTATGGATGCAATAATTGCATGGGTACATCTTCACGGATAATAGTTCTATTCTAAGAGGAAATAGTTCTCTTGCACTTGTCCTTCGGGAGGAACAATACCTGTGATCCAATATAAGTTTCTCCTGACCTTTTGATAGGTTCATCATATGTAGAAATTCCCTATGGAAGCTTATATTGAAGAATCTGGACATTTGCTGCCTACAATTGGATTTGTGATGGGATTGTGCTTGTCAATATATAGGATCAAAGCTCTCTAAAGGGTAAAACAGGTAAAAGGTTTTTTATGGACAAGTTATAGTGAACAACTTGCAAAGAAGCAACATTTTTTTAGGTTATAGTCAATACACTCGTTCAATCTGAAAAATGAAAATTCTTCATTTTGCACTATTTTCCTTCTTGGGACTTGTTAGAAACGAAAAGCACCTGTGAACATTGTTTATCATTTATCTCAAATGTTTGCAGTCAACAATATATAAGTTTTAGTTATATTCAAGAAAAGACTGCTACAATTAGACCAACGATGTTTACTGAATCTTTCACTTTTAAGAAACATTTACAAAAATTGAGATGAAAATGTTGAGAGAAATTTGCGGTATAACCTTAAGAGACATAGTTAGAATCGAGCATCTTTTGCAACTTGTTAAGCTGACACTAATTGTAGTGTGCGGTTTAATTAAGATGGTTTAGACATATTTGACGAAGGTTGCTAGATACACCAGTTATGAATATAATATGTGAGAAATCTTGAGGAAGAGGCCTACCTAAATTATGGTAATTAAAAAAATATTTGAGCTTTTGTGATTTAGCCTTGGATGCGGCTCTTGACACAACAGAGTGAAAAATGAGGATCCATGTAGCTGACTGCGCAGAGGTATGAGATAAATCTTTGTTGAGTTGAGTAGTAGTCCAGGAAAGAATAAATTATCTTCACGACTGCATAAGAAATACACTTTTTTTTTTAGTTTAAAGCTTGTCTAAATTAATCTAAACAAAAACATTTCAATGAACCGAGCAATGGTCATTGTATGCTGGAAAACATTTTTTGAGTGTACATATCTAATTCTCTATTTCCAATACATGAGCCTGCTGGAAATTCATTTCAGGGGATGGGGGTCAAAACTATAATTTGAACTTCTCTTTCTTGTAGGGCTGATGAGTGGAATGTCAATAAATGGGCATGGGAAGGCACTCTGAAAGTTATTAGCAAAGGAGAAGAATGCATTATCCGATTAGAAGACAAGAAGACAGGTGGATTTGTTGGAATTCAATAAAAGTGTTCCATAACTTTTCTCAATATATTTTGTTGTTGGTCTAATATAGGTGAATTGTATGCTCGGGCATTTTTGAGAGATGGGGAACCACACCCTGTGGAGCCTGTAATTGATAGCAGCAGGTTTGCAAAACTAATCACAAAATTAATTTCACTTCTCATGAGAACAATTTTTGAAATGCTTAAAAGTGGTGTGATGTCGTGTTTCATTCTGGACTTCTGGTATTTATATGTACAAATTCTATTGACTTCAAAACCAGCCACCTATAATGCTCTCTAACTCATTTTGTTAATTCTAAATTGTTGCAGATATTTCGTTCTTCGAGTAGAAGAGAATATTGGTAATATAGAATTTCCATCTCTTCTTTTAAATTATTTTTTTCATTAAAAGTTTTGTTTCTTTTCTGTTTTTCGACTAATAATAGCAGAATAGAGCCGTAAAGATTGTCTAACAATGTTTTATTTCTGTTTTCCATTTCACTTCAATCTGCTTTCTATCTTCCTTGCAAAAAATCTCTAGCTCTCTTCCAAATGAAATACTCTGTTCACGATTTGTTGGCAGCGTAAATCAGCCGCTGTTGCCTACCTCGTGGAAGGAGTCATCACAAATGATATTTTTTCTACATGTCATTTTTTTAATAAATTGATTGAGCTTCTAGAACTGAATTCTTTTTTCCTGGAATTTTCCATTTGGAATCTAAACGGAATTTCTTTTTGGGATTAGTGTTTTCTATTTTGTTATGGGGTTGGGGTTGGGGATGGGGATGGGGATGGGGATGGGGAAGGATTATAATGATCCAATGTATGTAAAATTCCTGAAGATTTCTGTTTTGGGCATTTTAATGATTGCTCACACTTTTTTCTTTTCTTTTAATTTTATTTGCAGATGGTGTGGGAATTAATCCTCAACAAAGTGCAGGTACCTCAGAAATTACATTTATTTATTAAAATTTAGCTTTGTTGTTATTCGGACACTTTGTATCTTTGAGATTGATCAGCAGCATGGGATTGATTAGAGATTTTGATAGTTATTTTTAGGTCATTATGAGATATTCCGGTTGGCATTAATTTGTTTGTTTACTCTATAAGCTTTTATAGAAATTATTCTTATGCTTGTTTGGTAAGCAATATTGAGTGAAATTGGACACTATAATAAATAAAATGTTTAGCTTTTCTACTCTCCACTGTTATTATCCATCTTACCAAAATGTCATATATTTATGCTATATTGTTTAAGTACTTTTGTTTGTTCGCTTGTTTTTTACTTAGCTGTGGCCAATTTGCTTGTATAGAGTGCAGTGATGCTTAACTTTGTTGCTTCGGAATTTAATCTCAGTTTCTTATAAACTTTACTTCTTGTTTCATGAAATATCAAAATGCAATATGTTTTGTTTTTAAAGAGTAATGGGAGGTAGAAATAGGGAAGAGATAACAAATAATTTTTGGAAGGTTTCTTACATGTTTAGCATGGATCAAATTTTGCTTTTGCTCCATATTCTCTGGCGCCATTGGATTCTCTTTCCCCTCTTATATCCCTTTTCTCCCTGGAAATGGAGATGGAATGGTTAAGAAAGTTTATGAGGATTCAGTATCCGTTGGTGACAAAACGTACACATTTGATTCAGTTTTAGACTCAAAATCATCTCAGGTTTGGAATTATTTCTGAAATTCTTCATTATTTTGCATATTCAATTGCAATGAATACTTTATCCTACGGTCCTTTCTGTTTTTACTCAAATATCCTTATGAGGACATAAGAACTAATTTAAGGCCATTCAAATAGAATCGAAATATAAGGATCAATGTTGATTTATAAATCTATGGTTCCATGATTTTAGGAGGATGTGTATCAATTAGTTGGCACCAGTTTAGTTAAGGATGCATTGGCAGGTTACAACACATCAATATTGGCTTATGGACAGGTAGTTTTGGCCGCATAACTAATTTTGTTTGCTTTCTTGTAATTGTGTATCGTGCAACTTTGAAAATAGAAGTTCTCGGTTGATGCTCCTACTCCTCATGGAGCTAAATTTTGCTATGGACACGGAGACTGGGGCAAACCACCGTTGATGAAATAGGTTTACCTTTCTTCCCATGTTTATTTGCACTCATCCTTTTTTGTATTTTTTTTCTTACTTTTCTCTTATTTTCACTTCCACCAGTATGGATGTCCCTTGTATGGAGATGTTTTTGGCGTTTTGCAACAAGACCAGCCTAATTATGAGGTGAAAACCAGTACCTCATGAAAATTTCATAAATGGTTTTTTTTCTTCCCCCTGATGATATTCCAATTCATGTGTCTACTTCTGTGCTTAAGATTTAACTTATCCAACTTCTTCATATCAAGCTGATTTTCAGGAAGAACCAGTTGATAAGACAAAGCATTGGGGTGATTTGGAAGAGGACTAGAGGAGGAAGAAGAAGAGAAAGAAGAAGAGGAAGATTAAGCTCACTATTCAGGATTCTCATTTGGTACTCTCTCTCTCTCTCTCAAACTTTCCATTGCTATTGAATCTTATAATTGTAGAGATTATAAGATTAATCTGATTCGTTGTTAAAAAATCTCAACTCCCTCTACATAGCAACAATTGTTACTCCTGGGAATCGTACTTGGTGACGTGCTCGTTTGAAGAAAACTTATACTTTTGCATGTTTATCGTTATTTTCTTTAACCTTGATTCTATTGTCAAGTCATTTTACTTTTCTTTGCTTAGGTAGGAAATGAAGGGATAATTTCTGTTGGTCGGAATTGTTAATTTCTTCCAGACGTCATCATCTATGATTGTCATGGGTAGACAACTCTACCCCCACCACACCATCGAAATCCTTTCATATTATCATTACTGACATGTTTCTTACAATTGATGGGTGCTGTTTAATTACAAGAATTGTGTGGAAAGCAATGAAAGTTCACAATTTGGCTCATTTTGGCTCAGGTTCTGTGCAGGCGGATGGAGATATCGATGCCATCCGGAGAATAATGTGTAGGGAATGTGTTTGATAAATGGTAGGGAATGTGTTTGATAAATTGTAGGATTTAATAATTAGTTTTATTCAATTTGGTATTATATAGTACTCTTCCAAAAAAAATAAAAAAAAGGAAGACCAATTTGATGGAACTCACTTTATGACAAAGAAGCTCCTAAAAAGAAGACTATTCACTTCTTGATTCCTGCCCATGTCATTCTTTGAGGTTTCAGTTTCATCAATACTAATCTTAATGATGCATTTTCACTAATAAAACTAACGTTATACGATTTTTAATAAATTTCATCTATATGCAGGTTAACTCAGGGCATGATGCACAGAAAGCTTAACTCTGCAATGGGATTCCAAAACATTGAAGAAGAGATGGTGCAAATGCTGCAAATTGCCATGGCATGTGTTGTAAAGGTTCCAGACCTGCGACCTAATATGGATGAAGTAGTTCAAATTATCAAAGACGTCCGGCAATCCAACTCCAGTAACCGGCCATCTTCAGAAGAGTAAATCCAAGGACTTGGTTGTACAGACCGACCCCCTGATTCTTTCATAAATTTGTAATTATTAATCACGTATTTCAAAACTTTCTGATTTTTCTATGTTCAAGTTCTGAAAAATTCATCACTGTTAAAATTTCTGGTTGTATTTAAAGCCTTAGATCAGTTAGATGCATTTATGGCTCGTGAGTGGGAACTTGCCCAAGGTTAAATGGCCTTGGCGTGTAGTGGATTGATTTGCTTTACAATAGAAGTGTTTGTTTCCTTTTCGACACCGTTTCTTGTTTATACTATTTTCATTGTAACACTGTCTTTCGGCTCACACTAAAGTACCATTTCACAGTATTTGAACATTAACTGGAAAAATAATTCAAAATCACTCCACGCTATTAAATACCCAATTAAATTGCAGCACGTGCATCGCACATGCGTACACTAGTAAAAAAATAAGAGACAAATATGTGCTTAGTTAGCCTATCCTAGTGATAGAGGGGGTTAAGCACAATGGTATTTCATGCATAGATGCCGACCATGAAGACACAAATCAAGGTGAAACTTCTTTTATTTTTGGTAGGGCTGGATATGGTTCGGTTCGGTTCCAAAAAGAATTGAACAAAAGCAGATTTTTCGAGTATATAGTTAATGGAACCGTCGGGTCCAAATTTAATTATGGAACCGTTCGGATTCAGTTCTATTTTCCATTCGGTGTAGTTCGGTTCAGTTCTATTTGGTTACCGGCTTCGTAAAATAATTTTTTTTTTATATTTACAACAATATTACATTAATTTGACTATGACATGTTTAATCTTAACTCGTACAAAATAACGTAATCCAATCTGGTGATATCTTTTGCACATTTATTTGTTAACTTCTTCATATATTTGACTATTAAAAATCACAAGATGAGGAAGATAGCGAGTTTACAATAATAGAATGATAGAAACGACACTACGGTAGAATAAATGATTTGGGTAAAATTTAGGTCAATTCGATTAAGTTGGGGTTAACTGAAAATTGAAAATAGTAAAATCTTATTTCTGGTGAGTGCTAAATTAATTAGTTAACAAATTCATTTAGACAAAAATAAAATAATTTGACTTATTTAAGATAAAAAATTTAAAAAATTAGGAAGATTCAAATTTTATTCGATTTTTCGGTTCTAAATCTAGAATCGAGAATCGAACCAAGATAAAAAATTAAAAAAATTAGGGAGATTCAATTTTTATTCGATTTTTCGGTTCTAGATCTAGAATCGAGAACCAAACCAAATTCATCGGTTCTCGATTTAGACACCCGTTTGGATATTTAATTTAAGGAGAATCGCTCATTCGGTTCAATCAGGTTCGGGTCCGATTCGATCCAGTTCGGTTCATGAGTTTTGTCCAGGTTTGGAGATTTTGTAAATATTATTTTATGTGCTTCATTTACATGGTTAGTGCCTTGTACATTCGCGACTTCGTTTCAGTGCATTCTTCGACTAATTGTGTGGATGTATAATTGAAATATGTGGTCAAATATTGAACATGTAACAACTAGTAAGAGAAGTTGATGTAAGGCCGAACAAGATGTCTTGTTATATTTTTCTGTTCTTCACTAATGACACCTTCGTCCGATGCACCAATTTGGTTCAAAACCATTCCTCCAACCCAACTCGAAATCTTTACACCAAATTGTTGTAATGAACGATGCAGAGTTTATTTTATTATTTAATAATATAACTTTATTTACTTTATTAATATTTATTTTAATTTTAATTTATATTAATATTTACTTTTTGCATTAAATGTAATATTTTTAAATTATTGTATTAAGCCCATGTTTGACCCCATTGAAGTTTAATTCATTTTTCTCTCTTATCTTATCAATCACATATTATCTCAATAAAATAACTTTTAACTTTAAACCAAAAAATTCTACTTATTTTTTAACCACACATTATTCAAAAAAATACTATTCCAAAATCAGTTTTTTTTTTTTTTCAAATGATGTAGCTCGAACAAATTTTAACATATTAATAATACAATATTTTAGTTAATTAAACATAGTTTTTATTTTAATAATTTAGTAATAATTAATTGTTGAGAAATAAAAAATAAGGAAATAAAGAAAATATTGTTAATTTGGTGTAATAAGTTGGAGATGACTTTGTAAGATAAAGTGAAAGTTGCACAATTTAGCCCATGTTTTGGTGACCATTCTTCTTTATTTTTAAAGAGTTCTCAATGATTCTGTAGGAAAATGTGTGATTGAAAAATGATCTCGTATAAAAAGAGTTAGTGTCATGGATTGAAGATGGCATAGGATTTTTTTTTTTTTACCCCAAATGATGTTAATGTTGATGAAGAAAATTAAAATTTGACGTTAGATCCGCTTTAATAATAATGGACCCGTATTTAAGTTTGAAAATATTGTGTTTAATTAATCTCAAATTCAAGACAAATCGATTCTTCGAGAATCAATATAAAATTTTCCCCGGATTAAATTATCTGTACAAAAATAAAATTCTTACAGGTTTCTCATCCAAGAGGAATCAATGCATAGTAAAAAGACGAGTATTCATCATTATTGGTGTTAAACACCGATTTATAGGTGACAATTATATGTCATTAAATAATAGATTATTTAAATACAAAGTGAAATGATTTAGTCCTTGATTGGTGCACATTTTGAGTTCAAGAATACGTTTTTTTGTTGAGAAATGCTATTCATCCCCACTGGGGATGTATCCCCAATCTATGTGGCGTTAATGTGGCATTAAATGATAGGTTTTCTTCTACTCATTTTCAATCACACNCATTATTTTGGAAGAATGTATTTTAAAATAGTAAATTGATGGAAAATATATGGTTGAAAATAAGGGAAAAGTTATTGATGTGATGAAAAATATTATTTTATTGAAAAATGTGTGATTGAAAATGAGTGGAAGAATGGGAGTAAAAAAAATAATGTGAGGGCTTAATTTGCAGTCACAATTTACTTTAACATCGCTGAGCTAAATGCGATATAATTTACAACATCGTTCACGGTCGCAATCGTGGTACTAATTCTATAACCTTAAGGCCCCCGAAGGAAAAACCCTAAGCGTCGTCAACTGTACTACCATCCTACTAGGAAGTAGAGCCCCTTCAACTGCGTATCTCCAAATTCCCAACCCAGCACTATATTTATTTTTATTTTCTGAATTTTTGTGCTGATCTCTCTGGATCCCCGTTCCGTTAATTGCACCCGTTAAGCGATCAGAATTCTCAAGACTGTTTTTTCCTGAATGGCGTCCAAATTCGGGTTAGCGGGTGGCATTCCGGAGCGGCGGGTCCGACCCATTTGGGATGCCATCGATTCTCGCCAGTTCAAGAACGCCCTCAAGCACTCCGCGAGTCTTCTCTCCAAATACCCAAATTCTCCCTATGCTCTTGTAAGTTTGTCAGCTCTTCCCCACTTATTTTTCTTTTTAAATTTCATTTTCTTCAGTATTTATTTGTGATAGTAAACGTGACTGTTAGCGATCAGTATTCGAATTACGATTGCAATGTGTGCAGGCTTTGAAGGCGTTGATATTGGAAAGAACGGGCAAAAATGAGGAAGCGCTTTCTGTTTGTTTGAATGCCAAAGAGATTTTATTCACCAATGACTCCAGCATTTTCATAGATGATCTCACTCTTAGCACTTTACAGATTGTTTTCCAGCGCCTAGATCACTGTCCGTGTTACCTCTACTTAATTTTTGTGCTTGTTTTTCTTGGATGAATATGCATTTAAATATTGTTTACTATGACAGTTGATATGGCGACAAGTTGTTATGAGTATGCATGTGGCAAGTATCCCAACAATTTGGAACTAATGATGGGTCTTTTCAACTGTTACGTTCATGAATATTCTTTCGTGAAGCAGCAACAGGTGAATGACATGATGCTGCTTCCCAATATTTTTTGCA